GTAGGCGGCGCCCTGGCGCACGCCTTCCTCCCCCGCCGCGGCGAAGCGCACTTCGACCGCGACGAGCGCTGGTCCCTGAGCCGCCGCCGCGGGCGCAACCTGTTCGTGGTGCTGGCGCATGAGATCGGCCACACGCTCGGCCTGACCCACTCGGCCGCGCCGCGCGCGCTCATGGCGCCCTACTACAAGAGGCTGGGCCGCGACGCGCTGCTCAGCTGGGACGACGTGCTGGCCGTGCAGAGCCTGTATGGTGAGCCCCCGGCGCGCTCGCCACTGCGCTCTCCCCTGTCCCCTGCGCCCCGGGATCCCCAGCGCTCGGACACCGGCTCTTCAAATAGGATCCCCCATCCTAAGCGCAGGAAGCTGGCCTCCCCATCACAGGTCCTTCACGATGCTGAAGCTTCAGGCTCCCCTCAAATCTTGAGAAACCTCATCTCCTGCTGTGCTTCACCCGCATGCCTGGCCTCTATCATCCCAACCAATTCCTGGGCACAGCCCTCCTCTGCGTTCCAGTTGCTGATTCCTGCCCAACCAGGACCGCGCAATTCCTCTCATATCCCTGCCCCATCATCCAGACCCAGTCCTCGGTCCCACCCAGACCCCAGAGTCCTCATTCCTGCTCCCAGCTCCAGTGGCTCTCCCCCAACATTTCCCTCTCCGTGAGCTGATGCCCACTTTTTCCCCAAGCCTGGGCCTCTGCCTGGCGGTGGACTTAGACAAGGTCTTCTCCCGCAGAATGAACTGACTGCTGCTTCCCAGAGATTTATCTGGACCCCAGCCCAGGGCTGTGACCCTGAGTACGTGGTGTGGTGGGCAGGGCCAGGATCCCTAGGATCAAGTACCATTCCATCGGGGTTAGCACTTGCTCTTGGGCAAAGCACTTCCCCTTTTAGAGCCCTCGTCGGTTTTATCTTCTGGGGGAAAAAAAAGGTGGGGGGGATAATAATTGAGGCCCTGCTTACCTCCCAGGGCTGTTGTTCTGGTGGATATGAACATGCTTTGTAGTCTAAGAGACCTACACAAAGGTAATAATAATAGCTGCTCTTTCACGAGTGTCTACCATGGGCCAGACACTTAACACACCCATGAGGTATCTTTTTATCCACAAATGAGGAGAATGGGGCTCAGAGACGTTAGATAACTTGTCCAAGGTCACCCAGCTAGGAAGGTGCAGACCAGGATTCAGGAGCTGGTGCCGAATTCTAAGCTTGTTGGACTCTGCCTCATTCTCATAAGTGAAGTATAGTGATGTCATTATTATAACTGCTGTAATTATCACAGCCCAGGCCCCTGAACTCTGCCCTCATGCCATCTGCATTGTCCAGGACTCAGGGAAGAGGACCCTCTGCCCTTTTTAGTTCCAAACCCTTGTTTGGTTCCCCCACTCCAATTTTACCCTTTTCCAGACTGTTCGGCAGGAAAGAGGACTTTGAGTTTGGTGCTATGGTTATAACACCAACAACCAAGGACAATTCTTAGCCCCCCACCCCTGCCCTCCTTCCCTGCCCCTCATGTCAGATAATGAAATGAACCAAGGGGGAGGTCTCGAGCACTCAACACACCCCCAACCAGTGTGCATTCTCTCCCACTTCCCTCCTTCCCTGTGAAGGGAAGCCCCAGGGCGGCTCAGGGGCCATCCAGCTCCCCGGAAAGCTGTTCACGGACTTTGAGGCCTGGGACCCCCACAGACTCCAAGGAAGGCGCCCTGAAACCCGAGGTCCTAAATATTGCCACTCTTCCTTCGATGCAATCACTGTAGGTAAGATGGTCCCGCTGGTCCCTTGCTTCCTTCTTCCCTCCTCCTGCTCCACATCTCCAGGGGTCTCCGGAGCTGGAGTACAAGGTTGGGGGATGAATTATAAAATCCAGAAATCCCAAGTCACAAGCATTCTGCAGGGTAGCAAGCCCACGCCAAGCAAAACTCTGCTTCCTCCTGCACTTTCCCCTCTGCCCCAGCTGTGCATGCTGTATCCTCTCTGCTGCATCCTCTCTCGTCAGTTTGGGAAGCTGGGTTCTAGGGAAGCACCTTCCCTGGAAAGAAGGCAGGAGGCTGATGGTCACTCCTCAACTTTCTCTTGTCTCTGGGCAGATGGGCAACATCGACTGTACATATTTCAAGGGAACCAGTTCTGGGAGGTGACAGCTGATGGCAACGTCTCAGAGCCCCACCCACTACAGAAAAGGTGGGCAGGGCTGCCCCCCCATATTGAGGCTGCCGCGGTGTCATTGGAGGATGGAGACTTCTACTTCTTCAAAGGTACCAGCCCTGGGGCAGATGAGAAAATTGAAGCCTAGAGAGGGGAGGAGTCTGCCCAAGGTCAAAAGAGGGGAGGAGTCTCAATTCCATTCTGAACCTGCGGCCCCAGAATCTCTCCCAGGAGATTCCTTTAGTGATGGATTGGGGGGCACAGGTGTCACGGTTGTCCCAGAGAGAGAGCGGGTGGGAGAGCTTCAGAGAAGAGTCTAGAGGGAAGCAGAGGATGGCTCTGAGCTCTGCAATACAGCAGAAGGACAAACCTTCCTTGGAATCCTGGCTGTGTGAGTCTGGGCCTGTCACTTAACTCTTGGAGCTTGAATTTGTTGAACGGGGAAAATAATCCCTCAGGTTTGTTGGGGAAGGAAGATTAAAAGAACATAATGTCTGAGGAATGTGCAGTATGAGAAAATTGTGTTCATTCATTGATTCAACAAATATTGAGTGCCTTCTACAAACTCGGCTGGAGGTGTTGGGATACAGTAGTGATCAAAACAAAATTCCCTGCCCTCACAGAACTGTTGGTAGTAATGGCCGTGGAGAAAGCCCCTGGACTTCCCTGAAGTCTACCACTCACCTGGGAGGGCGCGTGCTTCCCGCCTGGGTTGGGGAGGTTCCTTCAGAGCAACCTGCCCTCTGCGGACACCTGCTGCAAGTGGAGGCCACAAGAGTCCTTCCTCTACTGTTTACAACTGGTCTATTTTGATTATCACAAATACTGACCACCTTGGACTCCAACATGAAGGGGAGTAGGAATATGGGGGGACAGAGGTGGGGTAGAGGACCAAAGGGCGAGCGCACCAACTCACGCTGGCTCTGCCGATGTCCCACAGGGAGTCGATGCTGGAGGTTCCAGGGCCCCAAGCCAGTGTGGGGCTCCCCACAGCTGTGCCGGGCAGGGGGCCTGCCCCCCCACCCGGATGCTGCCCTCTACTTCCCTCCTCTGAGTCGCCTCATCCTCTTCAAGGGCGCCCGCTACTACGTGCTGGCCCGAGGGGGGCTGCAGGTGGAGCCCTACTACCCCCGAGGCCTGCAGGACTGGGGCGGCGTCCCTGAGGAGGTCAGCGGCGCTCTGCCCAGGCCCGACGGCTCCATCATCTTCTTCAGAGACGACCGCTACTGGCGCCTCGACCAGGCCAGACTTCGAGCAACGCCCTCGGGCCGCTGGGCCACAGAGCTGCCCTGGATGGGCTGCTGGCACGCCAACTCGGGGGGCACCCTGTTCTGAAGATGCCCCCACCTCTTAGTGAATTGCTGGCGCTCTCTCGTGGCCAACGCGTATCCCCAGCCCCAAGGGCAGACCCTGTCTGGAAGCCTCTGAGCCTCCCTGCAGAAATCCAGGCAGGAAAGTTCATCTGCGTTTGTTCCCTGGAGAATGTCTTTGTGCTGTCAAGACATTGATCTTTGTGGGATCAATTTAACGAGAAGCCGAAAAGGATCCCAGACCCCACAGCCCTTTCCCCAAAGACTCATTCCTCCCCAGGCCTTGGGGATTTTGTTTCTTCCCCTAAAGGTGCAGTTCCTGTCCATGAGGCCACAGCACTGGGCAACCAGGAAGGATGCAAAACTCAATGGAGAAGTTGGGACCACTTTGCAAGACTGTCCCTTCCCCTCAGGGCCTCCTGGCTCAGTCCTTGGAGGATTGTGTCTTATTTAATCAGAGGCCCCACCCCCAGGAAGATTGGATGGATTGAGTACAAGGGTCTCCAACCTCAGGGGTGTCAGGACCCAGAACAAGAAGGAGACTGATGCAGGCCTGCTGGGCCCTGTTTCTTTCAGGGGTTGGGGGGAAGGCTGGAATAAAGAGGTGCTCCCAGCTGGTGGGCCTGGAGGGGGGAAGCAGCCTTCCTTGGACACGTTTCCAGTGAGAGCAGGTGGGTATGGATGCTAGGGAGGCTGCAACCATGTTCTTCCGGTCAAAGCTGGGACCAGTGAGTTGTACGTGTGTGTAGTTGTGATAGGGAGAGGGGCCCTGCCTCTCTCCTCAAAGATCAAAATATCCTTCGTCCACCTCATCCCCCAGGCCAGATGAAGGACCCTGTGTGGCAGGAGGAGGACAGGGGCCTCTCTGGAGGTCTGCACAGCTGCAGTCGCTGGGGGCTCTGCAGGCCGGGAGAGCTTCGTGCTCACAATGGCCGCATTCTCCTGGCCACACACGAAGCATTCCAGGAGCTCCCGCTGGCTGGCCGAGAATAGCTGGGATTCCTGGAGAAGGACCCAGCTCTCCGGCCTCCCAGTCTTCTGTCTCAACGGCTTCTGGGACTGGTTCTCTAGTCCTGCCCCCAGCACACCTGCCAGTGCCTCCTCTGCACACACACTGACCTCAGCCAGACCGGGCTTCCCGCGGGAGGGGAGGAAGGTACGGCCAGCTTCAGCCCTCAGCTGCCCGTGGGCATTCCTGGCCCGGCAGCTTCATTTTCTTCTCTGCGCCGTGGGGAGAATGGCCTTTGACTGCCCTTGGCTGCAAGTGCTTTGTTCCGCCGTGTCCGGGGGGAGTTGCAGGGAGGAGGCTCTCCGCCTGCCCTTTTCCCTCTGGCTTGAACCCAGGGAAAGGGGAGGAGGGTCGATCTTTATCCCACGCCCCACCTCAAGGCACTGACACTTTGATTAGGGGCTTTATTGAATGATTTGAGGGAAGGGGCAAGTTTCCCAGAGGGGTTATTTTCTCTAGGCGACGCCTCTGCTCACCGGGCCCGAAGGACGTGAAATACCCCAGAGATGAGCGTGAGGCTGTACCAGGGGGCGCGAGTCAGGTGGGCGGTGGGCACTGCGTGCTGACCCGGGCGCTGGGGCCCTCGGGAGGCGCTGTTGGAGGAATGGAGCTCCAGGTGATGTTGGGCTCCGCATTGATGACAGGTGGGGCCGGTCATCAGCGGTGGGCCTGCTGGGCTGCTCGGAGTGGGGCGCTCCGGGAAGGCGGCTCTCAGGTACGTACTGGAGAGCGCTCCGCGTCGGGGGTGGAGGAGAGGGTGGCGGGGAATTTGGAGTCAGGCGAGGATGGAGGGCCACAGAGACCGGGGATTGGGGGGCGCTCAATGGCCCACGGCAGCCCCCGCGCCTCCAGAAGCCCGCGCCTCCCGCAGATCCGGGTGCTCCAGAAGGCAGTGCGCCACGTAGCTCTGCGGGCTGTGCAGGTTCCTGCACTTCTTGCAGAAAAGGATCTCGCAGCGCGCGCAGCCCCCGCCGCGCAGGCGCCGCCGCCGCGTCTCCAGCACGCACTGCTCCTCCGGGGGGATCCGTTTCCTGCGGGCAGGGGCCGGGGCGCTCAGGGCACCGCGCTGCCAGCTCCCGCCCGGGGCCCTGGCGCCAGTACCTCCCGCCCCCGCCGAGCGGCGCGCCCTCACCTGTTGGCGGGAGGGGCCAGGCCGCCGAGCAGTGCTAAGGGGCTGAACCAGCCCCAGAAGCCGCTGTCCGCGCGCCGCAGCAGCGCCACCTGCAGGCTGCTGGACTCCTGGCTCAGCGGATTGTACGACACGGAGCCCCGCTCCCGGCCCTCGCCGCCCTCCGCCTCCCCGCCCTCCGCCTCGCCCTCGGCCGCGCGCTTCTCCAGCGGCCTCTCCTCGTCCTCCTCCGGCGCCCCCTCCGCAGCCTCCGCCTCCGCCTCTGCCTCTCTGGTCCTGGGCTGCTCCAGCTCCTTCTTCCACAAGGGGGTCTTCACGCCTGCGGGGGCGGGGGGCGGGGAGGAGGTCAGTGAAGGGCCTGGGTACCCTGGTACCCTGACTGTTGCCCACAGCCCGACCGACCGCCCCCCCCCCCCAAAAAAAAAAAAAATAGGCGTTCGAACGACGGTGCGCACGAGATGCCCGGAGCCAGCAGGATTCCAAGAGAGGGTTACAGAGTGTGCAGGATTTCCTGGGCAAAGGAAGGCCTGGTTTCCTGGGTCCCCACACTTCCTAGCTGAAGACTCGGGGCAAATCACGTCGCTTCTGTCACCTCCGTTTCCCTCTCTGTAAAATGGGAAAAAGTAGTGCCTATCCCAAGGATTACTGTAAGGCAGGTATCAGATCGAGTCTGTTTGAAGCGCCTGGCTCAGGGGCCGCGGGAAGCCATCAACAAACAGGTGCAATGAGCCTTGCGAACCCGGAGGAGATGGCGGTTCATCACCACCTTCCTTCTAATTGGCTCCGGGGTGGGGACTGATCTCTGTGCAGGCTGTCAATAAACATTAAGTGCACTGATTGGAATTTCAATAGGTGGTTTATATTTTGTTTTCTGGATGGAACGGGATTTCCGTCTTCAAAGTGGGCCATACCTTAAGAAAGCCCAGCAACACCTGCGGCGGGGTGGGCAGGCAGGTGGGCACACAGCGCCTCTGCACTGTTAGAAATGGACGCCTCTGATGAGCAAAACAGGAAAAGTGCCCCTTATGAGCGGACTAAATAGAAGTTTCCTTGCCCTCCCACCCCATGGGCAGACCGATTGGGAAAAGGCTGCCCTAGGGGGGAGCCAATTAGGAAAAGGCGTCTATTCCTCCTTCTAGGCTTGACCCGAACCGCCAGCTGGATTTCAGCCACAACTGTCCCCCTTGCTGGTGTTCAGGACACAAACTCCACAACCCCAAGCGGCAGTCCTGGCAGGCGGGAAGTTCTTGGACTGATGTGAAAGTAACACGGCCGCCGCCGGTAGGTGTCCACCACTCACTCAGCAAACACTGACCCAGCCCCACCATGTGCCCTGCTGGCTGCTTGATCTGGGAAGCTAGACTTGTAATGAAAAAAAGGGGGAGGAGGGCAGGGAAGACACAATTCCTGGGGTTTGCGCTGGAAAGGTCTAGAAATTTTTCTATTGATCCCTGCCCATCATGATTAAAGAGGTTGGAGACAAAGCGGAATAATATAGTGTTCCAGCCCACATGTATTGAGCACCAACTGCACATAGTCACCGGGCTAACCTCTTCATACATCACGCCCCTTCATCTTCCCGACCCTCTCAGGCAGGTGATGTGGTAGGTAACAGAGGGGCCTCTGAATTTCAAGACTTTTGAAACCTTTCAAGAAAAGTTGTTTCAAACATTCTGCCAGTTCTTGGTATTGCTAAATGTGGAGAACCAAGATCCACTGTACTTTTTTTTTTGGCCACGCCACGTGGCATGTGGGATCTTAGTTCCCCAACCAGGGATCGAACCTGTACCCCCTGAAGTGGAAGCCCAGAGTCCTAACCACTGGACCACCAGGGAATTCCCAAGGTCCACTGTACTTTTATTTAGGAAAACACATGAAGGAGCCTTCTGGTTGTGAAAGGCCAGACGTAGTGCACAGCCAGAAAAGGGTGCTGGGAACATTTGGGGAGGATGAGGAATTGGAAAGGAAGGTTGGGATTTGGGGGCCCAGACTATGGAGTTTGGACTTTGTCCTTCAGCAGTGGGGAGCCACTGAACGTTTTGACACAGGGATGTACTCAGAGCCATCCTTTAGGATGTTCCCTCTGACAGAAGGAGACAGAGAGAGACCTACTTAGGAGTCATTACAGTGGTCCAGGCCAGAGAAAAGATCCGAACAGCAGCAGGTGAAGATGAGAGAGCAGATGTCAAGAATATTCAGGAAAGAGAGAGAAGAGGGCTTGTACATGGATGGGTAACTGAGAAAAGGTTGGGCTTCTACTCTGGGATTGCCATGGTGATGTGTTGATTGGTCCACCCTGGAGTCAAGAGCCCCTGTCCTCCAGCCCCACTCACCATGTTTATCCATTCTTCCCAAAGCTGTGCTGCCCTCTTCCCTTGCTCAGGCACTGGGATGAGAGGGAGTTCCCACAGAACTTGGTCTGGTCTCTAGGGCCTCTGTTGATTATGAGGGGGCGGAGCTAGAACCCCACCTGCCCATAGGGTTCCACCCCAGAATAGTTGCCTTTTCTAGAGCTTCCAAAAGCACCCCCAAACAGTACCTTTTCTCGTGGGAAGGTATTAAAGGGATAGAGAGCAACTTTGGCCCCCAATAGACTGGGGTCAAATCCCAGCTTTACCACATAAACATAAAAGCTATTAGCATATTACCTTTCTGACCCTCAGTCTCTTTATCTGTAAGTCAGAGATGGCAGTGCAGTACCACAGTTTACCTGGCCCACAGAAAACACTTAAAGCATTATGTTTATTTCCATCACTATTTTCTCTTTCTGTTCTATCCCTGTCCTTCCTCACCCTTGCTCCCCAGCCTACTGACTTCCAGCACATTGCTTTAGCTCCGAGAAGCAGAGGACATGGTGTGAAGTCCTGTAGGAAGCAGAACTCGGGCAAGAGCTGGGTGTAGCTCCTGGATGTTCTGTATGTGTGTGAGAGAGCTGGGGCTGGGGAAGGGAATAAAATCATAGAAGCTTGGGAGACTCCTTCTTTTCCTGGCCTGACAGTGGGGTGTGTTGGCAGAGTCAGGGGTATGGAGAGGGGCAGAGGATGCAAACCCAGATCTGGAGAGTCTCACTCTGATGGGATACAGTTGCTGGAGTCAAGGAGATACCAGTCTGATAGGGGAACATGATATGGTCCTCCATCCAGGCCTGAAGCGGGGCGATGGGGTCTCTTCCTTCAGGCATCTCCTAGTTTGGTGGAGCCAGTTTGGTGGGAGGTAGAACAAAGTGGGCAGACCAGTCCCCAGGAATCTCATGGGGGCAACACTGTCAAGAACTGTAAAGAGTCTAAAACTTTACCCTACTTGCAAGTTAGCCTGCTGTACTTTCATGGGTGCTGCCAAAAAAACACGAGACTCCTGGGTTGGAGAGAAAGGACCTCATTACTCAAGGCACAGCAGCATCAGCATACCTGTGTCATCTCCTCTTGGCCCACTGTCCCATGGGTGCTATAGGGATGGGTGCCAGGGAATACCTGCATATGCAGTCATTTGCATTATAAGAGGACCCCTGAGCTTAGGGAACCCTAATCTTTCATGCTGGGCAGTAACCAAACCTCTTCTTTGCTCCAGAAAAAGACACTATCTCTACTTCCAAGGTTGTTCACTATATAAACACCCTTGAAAAGTCAGTACCTCTGCTTGCAAGACATGCAAAAATAGGAAAGACCCATGCAGAATTGTCTCCCTCACAAAACCCCATTTTCCTTACATTTACTAAAAGAGCCTATAGCCACCTTGGCTCTTTTTTTTTTTTTTTTTTAAATAATGTGGTAGCATGCACATTACTTTTTTTTTGAATTTTATTTTATTTTTTTATACAGCAGGTTCTTATTAGTTATCAATTTTATACACATCAGTGTATACATGTCAAACCCAATCACCCAATTCATCACACCACCACCCCCAGCCCCCGCCACTTTCCCCCTTTGGTGTCCATATGTTTGTTCTCTATATCTGTGTCTCAATTTCTGCCCTGCAAACCGGTTCATCTGTACCATTTTTCTAGGTTCCACATATATGCGTTAATATACGATATTTGTTTTTCTCTTTCTGACTTACTTCACTCTGTATGACAGTCTCTAGATCCATCCACATCTCAACAAATGACCCAATTTCGTTCCTTTTTATGGTTGAGTAATATTCCATTGTATATATGTACCACAGCTTTATCCATTCATCTGTTGATGGGCATTTAGGTTGCTTCCACAACCTAGCTATTGTAAATAGTGCTGCAATGAACGTTGGGGTGCATGTGTCTTTTTGGATTATGGTTTTCTCTGGGTATATGCCCAGTAGTGGGATTGCTGGATCATATGGTAATTCTATTTTTAGTTTTTTAAGGAACCTCCATACTGTTCTCCATAGTGGCTGTATCAATTTACATTCCCACCAACAGTGCAAGAGGGTTCCCTTTTCTCCACATCGTCTCCAGCATTTGTTGTTTGTAGATTTTCTGATGATGCCTATTCTAACTGGTGTGAGGTGATACCTCATTGTAGTTTTGATTTGCATTTCTCTAATAATTAGTGATGTTGAGCAGCTTTTCATGTGCTTCTTGGCCCTCTGCATGTCTTCTTTGGAGAAGTGTCTATTTAGGTCTTCTGCCCATTTTTGGATTGGGTTGTTTGTTTTTTTAATATTGAGCTGCATGAGCTGTTTATATATTTTGGAGATTAATCCTTTGTCCATTGATTCGTTTGCAAATATTTTCTCCCATTCTGAGGGCTGTCTTTTTGTCTTATGTTTTCCTTTGCTGTGCAAAAGCTTTGAAGTTTCATTAGGTCCCTTTTTTTTTTTTTTTTTTGTGGTATGCGGGCCTCTCACTGCTGTGGCATCTCCCGTCGCGGAGCACAGGCTCCAGACGCGCAGGCTCAGTGGCTGTGGCTCACGGGTCTAGCCACTCCGCAGCATGTGGGATCTTCCCGGACCGGGTCACAAACCTGTGTCCCCTGCATCGGCAGGCAGACTCTCAACCACTGTGCCACCAGGGAAGCCCCCCATTTGTTTATTTTTGTTTTTATTTCCATTACTCTAGGAGGTGGATCAAAAAAGATCTTGCTGTGATTTATGTCAAAGAGTGTTCTTCCTATGTTTTCCTCTAAGAGTTTCATAGTGTCCAGTCTTACATTTAGGTCTCGAATCCATTTTGAGTTTATTTTTGTGTATGGTGTTAGGGAGGGTTCTAATTTCATTCTTTTACATGTAGCTCTCCAGTTTTCCCAGCACCACTTATTGAACAGACTGTCTTCTCTCCATTGTATATCCTTGCCTGCTTTGTCATAGATTAGCTGACCATAGGTGCGTGGGTTTATCTCTGGGCTTTCTATCTTGTTCCATTGATCTATGTTTCTGTTTTTGTGCCAATACCATATTGTCTCGATTACTGTAGCTTTGTAGTACAGTCTGAAGTCAGGGAGTCTGATTCCTCCAGCTCTGCTTTTTTTCCCTCAAGACTGCTTTGGCTATTCGGGGTCTTTTGTGTCTCCATACAAATTTTAAGATTTTTTTGTTCTAGCTCTGTAAAAAATGCCTTTGGTAATTTGATAGGGATTGCACTGAATCTGTAGATGGCTGTGGGTAGTATAGTCATTTTTACAATATTGATTCTTCCAATCCAAGAACATGGTATATCTCTCCATCTGTTGGTATCATCTTTAATTTCTTTCATCAGTGTCTTATAGTTTTCTGCATACAGGTCTTTTGTCTCCCTAGGTAGGTTTATTCCTAGGTGTTTTATTCTTTTTGTTGCAATGGTAAGTGGGAGTGTTTCCTTAATTTCTCTTTCAGATTTTTCATCATTAGAATATAGGAATGCAAGAGATTTCTGTGCATTAATTTTGTATCCTGCAAATTTACCAAATTCATTGATTAGCTCTAGTAGTTTTCTGGTGGCATGTTTAGGATTCTCTATGTATAGTATCATGTCATCTGCAAACAGTGACAGTTTTATTTCCTCTTTTCCGATTTGTATTCCTTTTATTTCTTTTACTTCTCTGATTGCCGTGGCTAGGACTTCCAATACTATGTTGAATAATAGTGGTGAGAGTGGGCATCCTTGTCTTGTTCCTGATCTTAGAGGAAATGCTTTCAGTTTTTCACCATTGAGAATGATGTTTGCTGTGGGTGTGTCGTACATGGCCTTTATTATGTTGAGGTAGGTTCCCCCTATGCCCACTTTCTGGAGAGTTTTTATCATAAATGCGTGTTGAATTTTGTCAAAAAGCTTTTTCTGCATCTATTGAGATGATCACATGGTTTTTCTTCTTCAGTTTGTTAATATGGTGTATCACATTGATTGATTTGCATATATTGAAGAATCCCTGCATCCCTGGGATAAATCCCACTTGATCATGGTGTGTGATCCTTTTAATGTGTTGCTGGATTCTGTTTGCTAGTGTTTTGTTAAGGATTTTTGCATCTATATTCATCACTGATATTGGTCTGTAATTTTCTTTTTTTGTAGTATCTTTGTCTGGTTTTGGTATCAGGGTGATGGTGGCCTCTTAGAATGAGTTTGGGAGTGTTCCTTCCTCCGTAATTTTTTGGAAGAGTTTGAGAAGGATGGGTGTTAGCTCTTCTCTAAATGTTTGATAGAATTCACCTGTGAAGCCATCTGGTCCTGGACTTTTGTTTCTTGGAAGATTTTAAATCACAGTTTCAATTTCACTACTTGTGATTGGTCTGTTCATATTTTCTATTTCTTCCCAGTTCAGTCTTGGAAGGTTATACCTTTCTAAGAATTTGTCCGTTTCTTCCAGGTTGTCCATTTTATTGGCATAGAGTTTCTTGTAGTAGTCTCTTAGGATGCTTTGTATTTCTGCGGTGTCTGTTGTAACTTCTCCTTTTTCATTTTTAATTTTATTGACTTGAGTCCTCTCCCTCTTTTTCTTGATGAGTCTGGCTAATGGTTTATCAATTTTGTTTATCTTCTCAAAGAACCAGCTTTTAGTTTTATTGATCTTTGCTATTGTTTTCTTTGTTTCTATTTCATTTATTTCTGCTCTGATCTTTATGATTTCTTTCCTTCTGCTAACTTTGGGTTTTGTTTGTTCTTATTTCTCTAGTTCCTTTAGGTGTAAGGTTAGATTGTTTGAGATTTTTCTTGTTTCTTGAGGTACGATTGTATTGCTATAAACTTCCGTCTTAGAACTGCTTTTGCTGCATCCCATAGGTTTTGGATCGTCGTGTTTTCATTGTCATTTGTCTCTAGGTAGTTTTTGATTTCCTCTTTGATTTCTTCAGTGGTCTCTTGGTTATTTAGTAATGTATTGTTTAACCTCCAAACGTGTTTGTGTTTTTTACTCTTTTTTCCCTGTCATTCATTTCTAATCTCATAGCGTTGTGGTCAGAAAAGATGCTTGATATGATGTCAATTTTCTTAAGTTTACTGAGGCTTCATTTGTGACCCAAGATGTGATCTATCCTGGAGGATGTTCCGTGAGCACTTGAGAAGAAAGTGTAATCTACTGTTTTTGGATGGAATGTCCTATAAATATCAGTTAAATCTATCTAGTCTATTGTGTCATTTAAAGCTTCTGTTTCCTTATTTATTTTCATTTTGGATGACCTGTCCATTGGTCTAAGTGAGGTGTTAAAGTCCCCCACTATTATTGTGTTCCTGTTGACTTCTTCTTTTATAGCTGTTAGCAGTTGCCTGATGTATTGAGGTGCTCCTATGTTGGGTGCATATATATTTATAGTTGTTATATCTTCTTCTTGGATTGATCCCTTGATCATTATGTAGTGTCCTTCCTTGTCTCTTGTAACATTCTTTATTTTAAAGTCTATTTTATCTGATATGAGTATTGCTACTCCAGCTTTCTTTTGATTTCCGTTTGCATGGAATATCTTTTTCCATCCCCTCACTTTCAGTCTGTATGTGTCCCTAGGTCTGAAGTGGGTCTCTTGTAGACAGCATATATATGGGTCTTGTTTTTGTATCCATTCAGCAAGCCTGTCTTTTGGTTGGAGCATTTAATCCATTCACGTTTAAGGTAATTATAGATATGTATGTTCCTATGACCATTTTCTTAATTGTTTTGGGTTTGTTTTTGTAGGTCCTTTTCTTCTCTTGTGTTTCCCACTTAGAGAAGTTCCTTTAGCATTCGTTGTAGAGCTGGTTTGGTGGTGCTGAATTCTCTTAGCTTTTGCTTGTCTGTAAAACTTTTGATTTCTCCATCGAAT